TAAACAAAAGAAAACACCAAATGCCAAGAATAAATACCAAGGCCTAAGAGAACTTAAAGAAGTAAACCCAGAAAAAGAGAAAAAGCTTGTAACTTCTTTTTTAAAATGCTGTTTTGTTTTATTTTCAGTTCCAACTTCTCTCCCTCTCTCCCCCCTCCTCCACCCATTGAGAAGGCAAGAAATAAAATATCCATTACACATATGAAGTCATGAAAAAACATATTTCCTCATTATCCATCTTCCAAGAGGGGGGGAAAAACAAGAAAAAGAAAGAGGAAAAAAAATGCTTCATACTGCGCCTGAGTCCTAACCTCACAACTTCTATAAAAAGAATCTCAAACTAAAAAATGGGTTGGCCACAAGGACTGTAAGAGTGACTAGAAGAAATCAAATAAGAGATCAAATTAAAATTAGAAGTTAAGTGAAAGTTAAGCAAGAAAAATTTGAAAGGAGCATAACTATGTATTAAGCATCTCTAAAATGATAAGTTCAAATATTCAAACAAAATATGTGATCTAGTGGAACAAATACTGCCTTTGTAATTACTGGAGTTGAGTTCAAGTCCTGACTACCTACCTAACCTTAAAAAGTGACTATCTAGGCCTCAGTTTCCTTACATGAAAAATGAAGTAGTTGAGCTAGATAAATACTAAGGTCATTTCCAGTTCTATATTCATGATCCTATGGACTGTATTATGATTTAACTGAGGATAAAAAAAAAAATGCTTTAAAGAGTTAAATAACAATGACAGGGAGAGTAACTGTACCAGGGAAGCTATTTTAAAAATGTCTTGGTCACAAGAGCCATAAGAGTGGCAAGAAGAAATTAAGATAAAAATGAAATTATAAGTGAAATTAGAGATCAAGGGAGAAAATGGAAAGGAAAATAAAAAAAATTAAAATAGAAAACAGAAACTCTTAACAAGTAGTGGACACCTGAAAAAACTGATTGAGCAGAAACAAAACAAAAGCAAAAAAAATTTAATGACTTCATGAGACAATAAAAAATATTAGAATAAAGTGAAAAGATTTTTAAAGTAAAAATAGAAGGTATATACTATCAAAAAGCAATTGTGTTCTACTGTGTGTATGTGAATACTCTTATTCTGGTATTTAAGCTGAGAATAAAAAATTAAATAAGAAAATAGAAAAAAAAGAAACACAAGCATAGTCAAGATAAATCTAGAAAGGTAAATACATATGTGTGATTAGAAGGGACAGCTTACATTCTAATAGTGGGAGAAGAGAGAAGTATTCTTTGAGAATCCTAATACCTTCAAGTATCATAGAGGAAATGAAATGAGACAAATACAGGGATTAGGTGTGATTTTGTTTTGTATGATTTGTGTGTGTATGTGTGTGTGTTTTGTGTGTGGTGTGTTCTATTTTGTTAGTTTTAAGAGAGGAAAGAAAAATGAGACCAACATATCAAAACTTTTGTATGAATATGCTTATTAATTACAAGAATAGGTTTTTTTACTTTTCTTTTTTGGGGAAGTGGGTAGAGTGTGGAAGTTTTGATAATGATTTAAAAAAGAAAGAAAAGTGTCATTGAATCATTTAAAAATAAGCAGAAAAGATATAAGAAAGGTCTGTAGGGTTACAGGCAATCAAAACAGTTTTAGAACTTCATTGCTAAATTTGAATTATTTTTTAAAAAATGTGGTACAGACTGAGAAAAAAATCAAACAGTATGTAACAGAAACTGACAGTTTCATATACAATCCTTTTTTTTGTTTGTGTTCATTTTGCATATATCATGCATATATATACACACACATATATATGGCATCTCCTCTGTGAAAATGGAAGAGCTTTGAGGTCAGCTATTATTTCTCTTTGTGCTAGAGTTTAGCACAACACCTGGCACCTAGTAAATATTTAATAAATTCTAGCTGACTAATTGCTTGATGAACATAACAATAGATACAGAAAAGCATTCAATAAGATATAGCAATCATTTGTCTCCCTTCTTTGAAGAAGTGGGGAACAATGGGTACGGAATACTGTGGATACTGTCCAAGTTGGCTAGCTTTGCTGAACAACTTTTTTTCTCCTTTTTCTTTCCTTTGTTAAAAGGAAAGTTTTGCTAAGTAGGATAGGAGATAACCAGGAAATATATTCGGAATAAAGGTGATATGAAAACAAAATATGTAAGTAATATTTAAATATATCTAAAATAAAATATAGTATTCATTCACAATACAAAACATTTAGAATAGGAATAGAGGTATTTTTCTTTGACACACTAAGAAATATATAAAACACAGAGCTAGAATTTTAGGCAGTTGAGGAGCATTAGAAGCATTCCCACTAAAAACAAGTACATAACAGAGGTGCCCATTTTAACTATTTAAGGTAGTATTAGAAATGCTAACAATTGCCATAAGACAGTAAAAAGAAATTTAAAGCATTCACTTTAAAAATGAAAATGATCAAAATAACATTTTTGCAGGTGATATTGTTTACCTAAAGATCATCATTCTTAACAAAAAATAATCATAATTGAGACAATAGATGACATCAGCAAATTTATGGTATACAAGGTAAACACAAATAATTTACATTCTTATGTACTACAAAGTAAATTTAAGAACAAATTATTTAAAAAGAAATCCCATTTATAACAAAAAAATTATTAAATATTTGGGAATTAACTTAATTAGACATTCCTGTGATCGATAAACAAAGATAACCATAAAATCAAGATCACAGAAATAAGGAAAGATCTAAATTACTGAGTAGAACTTCAATGTTCATTGATGAATTGTATCAACATAGTAAAAATGCCAATCATCTCTAGATTTATGGATCTGATTCAATGACAATAAAAATTTCTAGTGGTTGTCTTTATAAAACAGGACAAAAGCATAGCAAAATGGGAAAAAAAAACAAAAGGATAAGAATAGTAAAGGTTAAGTTTAAAAATTATAAAAGATGAAGATTGCCTTTCTGGATTTTGTTTTCTCTGCTAGACTTTAAAATTTGTTATAGAAAAGTTTGCATCAAAACTATCAAGTATTGAAAAAAAAATTTTTAAAAACAAACAAAAAATAGAATCCAAATCCCAGAAACAAACAAGAAATATAGATAAAAGATTGATGTTTAATGAACCTATGGACAATAACAACTGGCAGGTGGATTCATTATTTAAGAAATGTTGTTGAGAAAACTTGCTAGTAATATGGGGAAAAATTATATCTTCCTCTTAAAATATAGTATAATCCCAATAAATCACAGCTTGATCATAGAACTAAACATAAGAAAAAAATATCAAGAAGTTACAAGAGACTTCCATTTAAGATGCCAATGTAAAAGGTCATAAAGGGAGCCCACCTCTCTAACTTACATTCCAGCAAATATCTGAAAAGGACTCAAGATTCCACAAGACCAGCAAAGCCACATGCCAGGGGAAATTCCCTGCATACTAGTTACAGGGCTAGCAGAGGCTACATGCTCAGCAGAGAAGTTAACACCAAGCAGGTTGTGGGTACAATGAGAGGAGCACAATGATATCACCAGAAGACATCTGTGGTCTTGCAGCGGAGGTGTGTGACTTTTCTGGGCTTGCTCCCCATGTGTGGTTTCCTATGCATGATTCCTATGTGTGTTTATTCTGTGAAATGATGGTGTATATATTTGAGCCTAGGGGTCATAGGAGCCACCGGAATTTCTGAAATGCAAGATGACACGGTCAGACCTAAACTTTTGGAAAATCACTGTAGCAACTACATGGAGGATAGATTGGAGGGACAGATACTTGAGATAAGGAGACCAATTAGAAGACTATTATAATAGGCTAGGTGTGAGGTGATGAGATTCTGAACTAGTGTGGTAGCTATGTGAGTGGAGAAGAGCGGCATGTGAGAGATATTGTGGAAGTAGAAATAGCAGGATTGAGAAAGACTCAGCTCAAGCACCACCTTCTATGTAGCGCTCTTGTCCTTCAGCTTCTAGTGTCTTGCTCCCCTCCCTGTATTTATACGTGTGTGTGTGTGTGTGTGTGTGCGCGCTTGTGCTACCTCCTCTCCCTGCCATAGAATGTATGCTCCTTGGGGTCAGGGACAATTTTGCTTTCACCTTTGTATCCTCAGTGCCTAGCACAATGGGAAAGTTAAAATAAGTTAAAATAAAATTTATATATTTTTAAAAATATCTTCATATTAAAATATATATTTTCTTAAATATCTTCTAATGCCTTCAAGCATCATAGAGAGAATTGAATTTTTCTTGAAATAGACTGTACTGGAAGGTCTAGGATATATATTGACTGTTTTTATAGACCTGAGTGATGAAATATATAGGCCTGGGGGTTGGGAAAAGTCTTCTCTTGTCTTTCAACCTCAGTTACATCTTCTGGGAATTGAAAGGTTGGAATATATGGTCTCTAAGGCCCTTTATCACTCAAGTATACCTTAGCTATTATGTCAGAGAATTTCTAAGTTGGAAACAACCTCAAAGGTCATGTAGTCCAATCCATAGCTGCAAAAACAAATCCCCTCCACAAAATACACAAGTGGTCAGGTCTTTGCTTAAAGTCCTCAGCTGCCTAGGGACCCATTATCACTCAGGACAAGCCATTCCACTTTTAAATAGCTCTGGTTGTTAGGAAGCTTTTTCTGAAGTCAAACCTAAAGTTACCTTAGTGATTTTTACCCATTGTTCCTAGTTCTGCCTTCAGGGAACAAGAAGACTAAATCTAAAACCTCTTACTCTGGGCAGTCTTTCAAATAGCTGAAGACTCCTTTGTGTTTAATCCCTATCCCTCAATCTCTTCCCCCCCTACCCCAAGACTGCACACACCCACATCCTTCAACATCTCCAAATCCCAATTTCTAAATTTACCACAATCTTCTAAGCTTGTGATTCAAGATGACTTCTCTCCTTCAGGTGGGTGGCTCCCAAGCTGCAAGGTCTTCCTTCCTCTCACTTTTGATGCCAAACAACCCAAGCAGCAGCTCCCCATGTACCCAGTCCTTTCACAGGCCAGGGCTACTCACAGATATCTTGGTGAAAACAGACAGCAGCAGTGACAAGATGGACAAATACACGCGTATCCTGGACCTTCCATATCTCTTCTGAAGGTACTCAGGCAAGGTGACAATCTGTGGCGGGAGAAGTGAGACATACACAAAGTCAGCAAGAAGTCCAAACTCTCGCTGGTCCTCCTATTTCCCCACTCCACCCTTCAGGGATTTCTTACTGCCTTCAGCACTTATAGATCCATTGACACTCAATTTGTACTGGTTTTTGTTTGTTGTTTTGTTTTGTTTGAGACTCGGTTTTCCTATCTCATTCAGCTTAGAAGTACATTGGCCACTCATAGACCAATCCCAATACTGATCAGTATGGAAGCTTGAACTTGTTCCATTTTTGCAAACCTGCTCTAGTTTGCCCCCCTTAGGGGGAACTCAGGAGATCCACCAGTTTCAGCCTCCCCAGCAATGAGGATACAGGCAAAGACCACCATGCCCAGCTTTTTGCTCTTCTTGAGTCTGTTCTGTCAAGAGTCTAAGCCTACCAAATCCTCTCTGGGGAATCCCAGTTGCTAATACACATTGCCTAAGTCATGAAGGGTTAGCCCCAAACTAACAAATTATTTTGGGGAAAGTCTCAATCACTGAGATTTAATCAAAAGTTTGTTTTTTTTTTGCTGTTGTCTTAAGAATGTGCCACAAGTTTTGCATAACTTCACATGTATAACTGATATCATATTACTTGTATTCTCAATGTGTGGGGAAAGGGTTGGTGAGAGGGAGGGAGGTGGGAGGGAGGGAGGTGGGAACTGAAAATTTTAAAAATAAGCATTAAAATAAAGTATAATTTTTTTAAAAAGCATACCAGTGGTTGAGTCCATACCCTCTATGGGGAGATGCTTTCAAAAATTTCAAGTAAAGGCCCATCAGATTTTTTGCATTACTTCCCTGATCAACCTATCATGTGTACATGCTATCCCTTGTACCATCTTGAGCTCCTGGAGTATAGGATATAGCTTCTGTAAAGTCCTCTACAACTTTAAATCTAAGAATCTATGCTGTTGTGAACCTGTCTCCAGCAGGCACTGACCAGGATTAAGCCCAAGAAAGATGTATGCATATAGAATCACAAATTTAGAGCTAGAAAGGATCTCACAGGTATCTAGTCCAATCTGCTCATTTTATAAATGAGGAAATTGAGTCCCTTCTAAGCAAGGGGAAGCGAATTGCCCAATGTCAGAGCAAAGCTGGAATTTGAACCCAGGTCCTATGATTATAAATCTAGTGCTCTTTGGTTATTGATGGATTAATAATTTCAGTTAACTTCTCACTTTCCATTTAATCTTGAAAGATATAGCAAATACAGACACTTCACAATTAAGTTTTACTCATTAAGATTAAAATGAGGGTAGTTTGAAGTAGGGGAAATTAGGAATTACTAATAGCTATAGCATTTATAGAGAATTTTAAGATTTGCAAAGTACTTAACAAGTATCTCATTTTATCTTCATAACAACCCTGGGCAGTAGGTATTGGTATTATACCCATTTTACAGATGAAGAAACTGAGGCACAGATACATCAAATGATTTGCCAAGATTATGTAGCTGGTAAGTGTCTGAGGCCAGATTTGAATCCAGGTCTTCCTGACTCCAAGTCCAGCACTCTATCCACTTTCACCATCTTCTACATCATTTACAGTTGTATGGACAAGATAGAACCAACATAATGCTAGAGAAGGCATGCTAGATCTGGAATCAGAAAATTTCCATTAGACTCCCTGTTGTCACAGTAGCTGAATGACTAAGAATAGGTTAATTAACCTGTCTGAGCCTTAGTTTCTTCATCTGCAAAATGAGGCTCCTTTTACTGTTTATCTCATAGGGCTGTTGTGGGTAAAGTGCTTCATCAGCATTCTGCTGCTATACAACGCTAAACTCCTTGTGATGATCCTGTGATTCATTTTAAGTGATGCCCAGTAGAGGGACCAACTCCATCGTGGAGGGAAATGGAGAGAGGGAGAGAAGAACCTATAAATTCACTGGTACAGAGAATTTCCAGTGAGAAAACTTCACTGTACCAATACAGATCAATAACTGTTCATCTCAGAGTGCCATCTGGGGCCTTAAGAAGCTATAATTTGCCCAGGGTCACATAGTCAGTATGTATCAGGGATGAGACCTGAATCTAAGTCTTTCGCTCAAGATACGTAAAAATATGTATATTTTTAAATTAGCAGATCCAACCCAGAAAAAAGTCTGGAAGTCATGGGCTGAGTTGGTGCCTGACTACATGTGGTGCTGCTGTCCATTGCCAAGAAACCATATATCTCTTGTTGCATGAAAACCACATTGACCTTCTCAGCCTCCTCCCATCATTACTCCCCTAATGCCCAAGGGTCAAACCACTATGTATCATTGGTCATCTTGGAAGTACACTCACCTCTGAGGAGATGTAGATGGGCACAAATATCCATGCCAGTGCCAGCAACACATATGTCGCCTAAAGAGAGACAAAGGTGGTATAAGGACCTGCTCCCTCCACGGTACAGATGCAGTGGGAAGAATGAGCCCTACAGTGAGAGGCAGGAGACCTGGGCCCTAGCTGGCTCAGCCACTCACTTCCTGGGTAAGCTCTGCTGAGTCAATTTACTCAGGACTTCAGTTTCCTCCTTTGCAAAGTGAAGAGGTTATTTCAATTAGATGATCTCTGAGATTCTCTTCCAACTTTGAGGTTCTACATTTTATTTCCACAAATCCACAATCCTGAATGATCCACAGTCCTGACATCCAGAATTTGGACCCTAAAAAGTCCTCAGCCAGTAACAAAAACAATTGAGCCCTCAATATAACTTTCTAAGGTAGGAAAATAGATTTAGACACAAAAGCAACTTAATTTGACCACCATTTTGAATCTCAAAATGTCTATGTTGGAAGGGCCTTCAGAGAGATCATGTAGCCCAACCTCTTTGTTTTACAGAAGAGGAAACTGAGTCCCAGAGAGGTGATCAATTCATGCAAAGTTGCAGAGCCAGGAGTAGGATTCAGGGGCCCTGGGACCAAGCACCACAGCTGCCTCCCTAGATTCCCTAAAACAAGAACTAAAACAGGAAATGTTGTGGGAGTCTAGAATTGGAAAGGATCTCAGAAGCCATCTAACCCATACAGACTATGGCACTTACATTCCACTCAAAGCCAGCTACAGCCAGTCCTCCTGCTGCTCCGGACCCGGCCAGTCCAACGAATAGCCCAGATCCTTCACTGCTGGCAAAGAGAGAGGCTCCAATCTGCAGAACAGAACACACCTGAGCCAACAATTCCTCTATGCCATCTAATCCCATCTTCTCCTGCTTTCCCAGGTTCATCAAGCAACTAGATGGGAAATGGAAGCCAAAGTTACACCACTAGATATATCCCCATGACTTTCTAAGTCAAGACACACAGATTCACACATTGCAGTGTTTGGGGGACACTACTTTCACTACTTCTACCTATCTATCTGATCACTCCTTCTCAGTCTCCTTTGCTGGGTCTTCATCCAGGTTAGGCCAGCTAACATTGGGTCTGAAAAGTGTCCCCATACATATCATGATCATATTGGCCTGATCTTCAGATGTATGGTCTGACAAAAGAAATCCTTTTGCAAAGCCTTTTTCTCCCTTGAAATAAAAATTGTCCCAGAAAATTCAGTGTGTATGATTGTTGTACCCCTATGTCAGAATCCTGTGACTTTTGATAGTCAGGAGTGTTTGACCTCTGACACAGGAAAGTCATAGAGACTAGAGAGCTTAGAAGGTTTCATGAAGGATGCAGCTGTTGCTGACCTTATGACCCAGAGTCATCATTAGCCAACAGTGCCCAAGGTATTAGGCAGCTTGTAGCACAGCCCAGCACACAAGACTTTCTCAGGGATGCAACCACAATGCAGGACAGCCCCACATCTGCACTGGTCTGCCACAAACACATCTCACCTGACTGCCCTGCTCTCCCTATTGTCTATCTATATATTATGTATATATATCTATATATATGTGTATATATATCTAATATATATCTGTATATCTAATATATGTATATATCTAATAACTTATATTATGTATAATACAATATTAATTATATATTACAATATTATTAATATACATAATAATATTATTATGTATAATAATATGTATAATATATATTATATAGTCTGTATGTGTGTATAATATATATGTAGGTGTGTATGTGTATATATATGTGCATGTGTATACATATGTATGTGGTATATACACACACACATCTATTCATTTTCAAAGCCACAGCTTAAGGACAGTTTTAGGAATGGTAGAACAGCAACTCGGGGTCCTCAGTTCTCCTTTTTAAAAAAGATTGCTACCCAAAAGCAACTTCAAAGGGGATTAGAGGGTGATACTAGTGGCACCAACTGCTGTCTTCCTGCTCCCATAGTTCAATTCCTCTCCCTCTCTTAGTGAATCCCAAGGAAAGGTCATCTAGGTCAGGGCTCCTTAAGCTTTTTCCCTCAGGACCCCTTTTCTAGTTTTGGCAGGTACCTTGTTGTTGCGTGGCCTAAGGGCATGCGCATCACAAAGTGAGCGTGCTTTGTGTTCAGAACCAAGTGAAGTTGCAGGATGCAACACTGGCAAGCATTGCCAGAAATACCTGGGATTCATTATGCATTTGATTTTAAATTAATTTTTGGTCATTTCATTTCAGAAACCTTTTATTGTTGCCAAATTTTTCATGACTCCATTTGGGGTCGTGACCCACAGCTTAAGAAGTGATGATCTAGGAAATGGAAAATACCAAAACTTCACCTTAGAGCCTCTAGCTTCCCCCACGTCCTTAGTCCTTCATCTCTACCACAGGCTCAGTTCCCATTCTTAAGGGAAGGAAGGGTCTGTCGTCCCCTCCCATAGCCTCTAAACCCCTCCAGGGTTTCCCTCACTATCAAGGAAGGTAAGGGGAGATAGGAACCTGAGAGAATTAGGGAAAATGTGAGGAAATGGGAAGCAGAAAGAGAGAGAGGGCTCAGGGTTGAGGGGAGACAACACTAAAAGGAGATGTACTGGGTGGGAGCCAAGAGGAGACAGAGATGCTAGCAGAATATGGGGAGGGGGGCTGAAGAAAGATGAAAAGATTGACAGTAGGGAAAAGATGATAGAATGAGAAAAGAATTGAGGAGCGACAGAGAAGGGAAGGAGGGGCTAAAAGGAGAGAAGCTCAGTAGCAGAGGAGAGAAGGGAAGTTTAGGATATACTTACTGGCCACCATGTCATGTCCCTTCCTGCAAGGAAGTACCCACTCACTGTGTTTCTGTTGACTCTGAACGAAGACTGAAAAGAGAGACAAAGGTCCTGAGGTGAGGAAACCTACTCCCTTCCTGGGCCCAGAGATCAACAACTGTGGTTTCTCATAATTTAGAGAATTGGGCCCAAACCAACTCAAAAGGGACTTATGGGATGACCAGAGTTACAGCCATACCAAGGAGGTGGACTTTATAGTAGAAAAGACACAGTAAAGAGTTCTAAACCCTTATCTGCCATTAACCAACTACTGGGTAGCCCCATCAAGTGTTCTCTCTGGACCTCAGTTTCCTCATCTATAATTTAGGATAGTGATACAAGTGGCCTGCCTCCTTCTTAGGATCATTGCAAGGGTCCAAAGGTATCTCAGATATAGGGTCCAGTGACATCTCAGATACATATTGGAAAGCAAAAGTGCCCCCAAAATGTGAAGGATCATCATCACCATCACCATCACAGAGTAATCAAAGAGACTCCCAAGGGATCTTCAACTGCTTAATGGGGTTAGGTATGTCAAGAGTTAAGAGGCTTGCTTAGAAAGGCCTCAGACTTTTCTGGCACACTGGAAATAAAAGGAGAATTATGTTGGGTAGTATAAATTAAACATTAAATTTTATAGTACAGACTAGAAATACTAAAGGATTTCAGAGGAAAGAAGCATTGCTAAGGGAAGGCTTCATGAAGAATGTGAGACATGAAGGACAGGTAGAATTTGGCCATGTAAAAGAGAAGGTATTTCAGTCATAAAACATTTTCATGATTCTTCCTTCATGAATACAGATTACAGACCCTCTCCAATTTAGTAGATGGTCTTCATGAATTACTCTGGCTAAAAATGTTCAACACCCACTGACCAATGAGCCTCTTTGACCTTAGTTAAACTGATCCTTGGAGACATGTACACAGGTCACTTCTGATTTCATACCTTTCCAGGCTAGAAGCTCTTCCAGTTTGGTAGGTAGAACCTGTCAGAATTTGTAGTCTGCATGATGTAGTGGGTAAGAGTTAGGAAGACCTGAGTTCAAATTCTGACATTTGACAGAATTTGGGGGACTCTGACATTTCCTAGCTATATGATACCAGGCAAATAACTATTCTACGTCTCAATTTCCTCATCTGTAAAATGGGGATCATGATCCCTGCAACCCACCTCACAGGGCTGTTGTGAGACTCAACAAAGAGCTCATGTGTATAAAGCACTTTTCAAATCTTAAAGTTCTATATAAATGTTAGTTGTTCTTGTCATAGCCCAAGTTTTCTTCCATGCCACCGTGAGACAACAGAGCAGGACTTTAGTCTTCATCTGGAAAATAGGGATAATGATACTTTCCCTATATACCTCAAAGTACCAAAATAAGATAGAAGGAAGAATAAGATAAATAAGATAATAGGTAAGAGATCATTTTTAAAAGGTATGTTTCTAGAATTAGAGTCATAAAAAGTTCAAATTCTGCCTCAGACACTTATTAGCTGTGTAACCTTAGGTAATTCACTCAATCTTCCTCAGCCTTAGTTTCCTCCTCTGTAAAATAAGGATAATAGTATCTACCTCACAGGATTGTTGTAAGGATTGAATGAGTTAATATATGTAAAGTGTTTTGCAAATCTTAAAGGACAATATAAATTTTATTATTATTATTATTAAAACTATGAAGGATGACTAACATTGTTTATATTTATTGCTTGTTAGAAATACAGAAAGCAGTGGTAGATGGAGGACCAATCGTGGAGTCAGAAAAACCTGGGTTCAAAGGTAGGACTTGTCAGGGCTAGTCAGTTAATTTTCAGAGGAACAGGGAACTCTCTAAAGTATATATTACAGAAAAGGAACCGATCTGCATCAATGGAGGGATTTTCCACACCAGGAGTTCCTTACCAAATAGATGAAATCATAGGTTTAGACCAAAAAGAAAAAATTACTAGTGTATAATATCAGTAGAGGGAGCTCTAAGGACCAGCCTGATCCCAAAGGTCCTATGGAAACATCTCTGGCTAAAGCTCAAGATCCATATGGTTCCCAAATGAGAAATCCTTATTTGCTAATAGTAAATTAAACAAGCACAGATTTGCAAACAGGATAGACTCTGGGGCCTTTGTGTTCATTTATTCCCGACCAATGAACCTTTTCCCTCAAAGTGAGCATTACACTGACTATTTGACCGAGGTGATGTGAATCTGTTGTTAGTGGCCCAAGATTTATTAAGTACAAGCATGAAGGGGAAGACCCCAAAATTCATGAGGGAAGAAACCATAGTTCAGATTTTCCCAGTGCTTTGATAATCAGGCTGGTAAGTCAGATAAGTCAATCTTTGAATACATGGTTATAGATAGGACATATGGAGACACGGTGCAATGAAGAGAATTTAGTTGGATCCCTCTTTGCTAGAGGTCTTCAAGCAACAGTTGCTATAGAGAGGCTCCTTGTGCAGGTGTGGGTCAGACTCAATGCCCTCTGAGGTCACATCCCTCAGATTTGGAGATTCTGGGGTTCAGATGGAGTTCTTCTCTCAGGTTTAATCCTCTTTCTTCATTTTCCCATCTTCCTAAATAATCCCACAGGAAAAGGAAGATAATGCAAGGCTTACTTTTTGCTGGAGATACCTTCTCTTCAACCCATCCAAATCTATAATCTTCTATGTTGATACATAGATATAGATTTGTCATTGATTCCTTACAATGAAATCACAAATCTGAACACACATATAAATGCATACATGTCAACATATATATCTGTGTGTGCATGCATCCTCATTTGTGATTTCATTAGTATAAGGAAATATGTACACATGTGTATCAATATATCCATGTATGTGTACGTGTATGTTACTATTTATATATTTAGACTGGTTGAAGGAGTTTCTCCAAATCTGCATTTGTAGACAGGGTTTCCTCACTGAGATTGCCTATACAAATGAAATCATGCAGTTGACTAATCCTACCTCTAATACTTAGCACCTGTGTAACATTGGGTTACCTCCTCAGACCTCAGTTTCCTCATCTGTAAAATAAAGTAGTTAGGAAACTAGCCAGGATGGTGGAGTAGTAGAAAGCAGTACAGCTCAGCTCCATGTCACAACAATTCCACAAAGACCTAGGAATTGTACCAGGTCCTGATCCAGAAATCCAGGGGAAAATCAGAGGGAGATATTTTTCTAGCCCAGATCAGCATATGGGGAAAGAGGTCTTGGGTTGCTGAGGAGAGGTGGAGACTTCTGGTGCTGGGACTGAATGAGGAATGCTGCTGTGTCCTTGGGCAAGAAGCATTTCTGGATCTGAGATGGAGGGTCTTGATGCTGTGCAGGAAGCAGTAACAGGTGCCAACTGGCTGCTCTTTTGTGCATATTCCAGAGCCATTCATTTTCATTATTTATCTTGAGATTCTTGACCCTTTTTTTCTCCCACATGAAATTTATTAATTTTTTTCTAGTTCTGTAAAGTAATCCTTTGGTAATTTGATTGGTATAGCATTAAATAAGAAAATTATTTTAAGTAATTTTTTTTATTTTTATCATATTGATTTGTCCTACCCATGAGCAATTAATATTTTCCAATTATTCATATCTCTCTTTATTTCTGCAAAGTTACTATAACACCAATATTATAAAAATGTAAGGTATTACATATCAAAAAAAATTTATCTAGAAAATAGATCAAGGAGAACTCATTTGAGAATCATGGAGCCATTACCCAAAAAAGGGCCTAGATGTTATATTTTGAGAAATCATAAGAGAAAATTGCCCAGATCTATTAGAACAAGAGGGCAAAGTGAAAATAGAAAGAATTTACTAATCACCTCCTGCAAGAAATCTCAAAATGAAAACTTCTAGGAACATCATAGCTAACATCTATAGTTTTCAGGTCAAGGGGTAAAAATACTGTAAGCAACTAGAAAGAAAGACTTTAAGTACTGAGGAACCAGTCAGGATCACACAAAATGTGGTCACCATCATAAAGGAGCAGAGAACTTTGAATATAATTTTCCAGAAGACAAAGGCTGTTGGCAGCATTTCTGCTGGTTCATTTGCTCAGTTGAGTTTTCATTGTCTACCAGGGGTGGGGAACCCATGGCCTCAAGGCCACATGTGGCCCTCTAGGTCCTCAAGTTCAGTCCTTTGACCTTTTATTAATGGAATTTGTTCTATGAAGTCTGGATTCAGTTAAAGGGCCCTGAGGCCACAGGTTCCTCACCCCTGGTCTGTACTCTGCAGTCTCAACTCGATTTCAGAGGCTAGGTCACTCGAGTCCATAGATGACTTTCTTCTCTGTTGCCAGGGGTCCCATCCTCAAAGTTGCTTCCTCCCTTGAGTGAATGCCTTTCTATATCCAAGTCTATCTAGAATATATATCTCTTCTTCCTCATTTATGACTGGAGTTCTCAAAATGGCAATATTTTGAACTATTATATGGGGTGTTTCCTGATTTTCTGCTAACTGATGGGGGAGAGTAGAGAAATCACCTCCTTATCCCTCCTCAACAAAGCTCTCAAGTCTGCAGTCCTGGCTTGACACCCTCTCAAGAACAAAACTAAAGTCCTACAAAGGCATGTCCAATTTTTGCTTGTCCAATGAGGTTTCTCCTTTTAATTCCACCAGAGAAAGGGTTTACTCTGCATAACTTTTCATAATCATAAGGGATTACTAAGGTGGGGAAGGAGTGAAGAAGGGGAGGAGGGAGCCTAGAGACAGCAAAATCCAGTGGTCAAATTCCAATATTACTATTACAAAGTGAACCATTTTTTAAAAAGTTTTCATTAAAAATGCTTTAAGTTTTTTTTTCTTTATATATTATTTTGGTCCCAGGCTGCCTCAGTTACTGGGCAAGTGGGGAGCAAAGACAGGGAGGAAGGTGTGTGTGCTTGAGTGGGTGTGGATGAAAACAGTGAGGTAGGCCTTGGGACTCTGGACTCCTAGCTAATCCTCATACTCACCAAAAATGCAATGGTTGATTCTGTTATCTGTTCTAATAGTCGGGAAACACTTTCAACTCACATTTCTTGATAACTATTTCTGTTGGACTCCCCTCCCTAGAGCAGATGGAGAATGACCACAATTTTGCAGTTAGTTTGACACTTTATTACTGCATTTAAACCTCATCATCTGAGACTAAATGCTAAGATATCAACTGAGTTGGAGGAGGGGGAAATCGTAATTCTCTCTCACCTTATATATAGCATTGCAGATTCAAGCTGTGTTCAAAAAGAAAGAAAGAAAGAAAGAAAGAAAGAAAGAAAGAAAGAAAGAAAGAAAGAAAGAAAGAAGAAATGAGTTGTCTTAGAAAATAGTGAATTCCCCACCTCTTGTCTTTCCAGATAGACTAAATGACAACTTGATGGAGGTGTTGGAGGAGGATTCTTGCTTGGATTGGGCTACTAAATAATAAAGTTCTTTTAAATTCTCTGATTCTCATATAATTCTGTCATCAGTCTTGTTGGGTAGGTAGGGTAGGTCATGGGACAACAGAATTTAGAACTGGAAGGACTGTAAGTGCCTGGCTCAGAGTCACACAGCTGTTAAGAGGAAGGACTGAGGCTCAATCCAGTACCCTTTCCACAACCCTTGGATGCCATTTGTCACTTCCTTTTGCAAGTAAAGAAACTGAGGCTCAAGAGAGGCTGAAAGATTTGTCAAAGGTCCCATTAACCAGATCTTGTCAGCCTGTTCCCCTGACCAGAACCACCTACTATTACATTCCTACGATTGTAGCTTAAGGGGAAGGCTTAGAAAAGAGCAGAGAAAGTGAATTATTCACCCAAAGCAGAACAACTGAATGCAATGCCAAGGAACTTTCCCACAGAGGCCAATTTATCTAAATTACACGCAAAACATTGCTGGAAATCTAGAGCACAGAAGCATGGTAGAAACAGGGCAGGGTAGGAAATCTACATTGGAGATTTGTCATTTCCAAGGAAAGCCTGTCCTGGAAGCCTTCAAGTCCAACATTAGGCATAGAACAGGAGGTTCAAATCTCAGTCAAAATCCCACCTTTAAGAAGCTTCTCCCATTCCTCTTCAATCTTAGTGCTTTCCCTGAGACTATTCCCAGTTTATCATATATTTCTTGTTACTATATAATTGTTTGCATGTTGTCTTCCCCATTAGACAGAGTTGAGAGTAGAGTTTTACATTTCTCTGAACCCTCAGAGCTTAACACAGTGTGTGACACATAGTAGGTGGTTAATAAATGCTGGCTGACTGAACAACTGTCATTTAAATTTTTTTGTGCTGGGGTCTAGCTGGTGGGCTCCAAGTAACTTGTTGCTCATACCCAACTTAATTTGGCGGGGGGGTAGGGGTGGATCTTTGATTTTTCTTATGTAGGACCTCCCAGTGACCTTCCTTCTAACTAATGAAACATGGTGGGAGGGAGAGAAAATAAATGTTTAACTGAAAATTAAGAAAATTTTTTTTTTAATTTCCCCCTACTACATCTGCAGCTTCTAGTCTTAAGGAGTTGCCTTGCCTAACGTCAAACAGACATTACCTGTCAAAAGCCAAACTTGAACCTAGGTCTTCCTGATTCCAAGCCTGGCTCTATCCACCCCACAGTGCTGTTTCTCACAACTAGAGTATGATAGTAACAATACTAGCAAACAATTACACTTACATAGCATGTTTAGGATTGTAAAACACCTTATATCCATTGTTTCACTTGTTTTCCAATCTGTGAGGTAATGTAGGCATTATTCTCATTTTATAGATGAGGAAACTGAGGCTCAAACAGGTCAAGTGACTTGCCAGAGGCAGGTTATTTGCCAGAGGCAGGATTCAAACCCAGATCTTTCCCAGCTCCTAGTTCACTGCATTTTCAAGTACACCAGGCTTCCACTACCAAATAAAAATCCCTTACATTTACTTAGCATTTAGTTCATACTTCTTTTTTAATTTATTTGTTTTTTTTTCGGCTAGGCAACTGGGTTAAGTGACTTGCCCAGAGTCACACAGCTAGTAAGTGTTACGTGTCTGAGGCCAGATTTGAACTCAGGTCCTCCTGAATCCAGGGCTGGTCTTCTATCCACTGTGCCACCTAGCTGCCCCCTCAGTTCATACTTCTTAAAGTAATTCTGTATCCTCACAACAAGCCTGTGAAGAAGGAAGGGCAAGAAATATTATTGTCCCCATTTGACTGATGAAGAAACTCTTGCCCAAAGTCACCCGGCTAGGAAGTTCTGGAGCCAGGACTAGAACTCAGAGTGTGGCCATAATCAATATAAGAGCCACAAGGAAATGTGGCAGTGACATTTTGTAACATTGTCCCTTAGTTACTTAAATCATATCCCCCAAGACTATTGAATAATCGAATAATCTATGAGTTCATTAGAATAGGGAAACTCTGAAGATTGCAACCCATCCATGACCCTTAGTGTCAAGAGACAGCCTTCGGAAGTAGCTAGAGGCACATAGAAATTAAGGTACCCAGCTTACAAATGTCAGAGGCCAGATTTGAATCCAGGTATTCCTGTTTTCAAGTCTAATACTTTATCCACTATACCATGCTATCACCTCCAGAAACCTACTAGAAAAAAATGTCCGAAGTTTCAAAAAGTCAATGCAAGAAGCTTTCACTTGGGACTCACCCATATTCCCACAGCCAGGTTTAAAGCAAAATACACCACGATGATGATAATATCAGTCACGTTAAGCTGTTGCCTAAAGAAGTGAGGGTCACTGGTGGAGTTGTCTGCCATGATCTCTCCTGTTTCAGCAACAGATTGAATGAGGACAAAAAAGGAACAAACCAGGTTGTGGTGGGCTTTCTTATTAGGAACTGATCATTAAACCAACTGGATGATGTCATTTTCAGCCCATGACCTGTCTGCATGGGGTGAGGACAGCTTCAAAGTACAAGTCATTTGGTTTCCTAGCCTCCGCTTAAAAATCATATGACTAGAGACTGCATGGCATCCAAGGCTGCATGTCTACAAAGCAACCTGCCTCTCTGGAGGCACAAAATGCTGTTCTGGATAGCCACAAGAGATGGGCACTGCATCTCAGAGTTCTGACTCTAACAGAAGAGAGGAGGTTGTGTGAATGCATAGCTAGGGGAAAACTAACTCTCATTCCAAAAATGTTTAAAGTCTTTTGCTGCAGCTTGGAGATTCCATATCTCAGAGAAGATACCACACAGAGCAAACTCTATTTATCAAAGATTGAGAGAAGCATCATTTACTCCCCAAAGTCTAGTAACCATTGCAAATAATCTTAGATCAACTGCTTTTTAGTGATGTTTTTAATTCACATTATTATATTCATTGTGCATATTGTTTTCCTGGTTTGCTTCCCTTTTCTTCCATCAGTTAATACATATTTTCCATTGTTTCTTGGAACACCTTGCATTCACTATTTCTTACAGTACAATAGTATTCCATTGCATTCGTGGTGTTGGGGACTGTTGTTGATTCATGCTGGTGGGGAGGGAAAGGGAAGACTCCTGAGGAATTGGAGTCTAGTTGATATTAAAATACTTTGCTGGTGGGGAAAGGAACTTTTAGTCATTCCTGATGGTCGTATTTGACAAGGTGATTCAGGGGATTTGAGTGTGTCTAATTAGTGTGGCAGAAGGGTTCTGAAATCCTTACAACCTGCAGTACCATCGAAGTGAATGAAAGTATTCTGCCTAGGTAAAGGAGGGGATAACAATGAAATCAGGGGACAGAAATCTAGGAAAGAATTTATTAAAATTTCCATTTTGCCTATTATTGGCTCTTTTTAAAATAATATTTTAGTAATTTTTAAAGGAAAAAACTAGATTAGATTAAAATTAATGGAAAATTTATGATTTCAAGAAAATGTGAAATGACACTCTTTAGTTAATTCTGTTCTCCCCCTAAAATCTGTACTCTGTCCCTATTTCTGGCAGCCCTGAGAGTCTTTTTTTTTTCCCCCAGAAGCTCTGACATCCCCTTTAAAAATTTCCTTTGTAGGGCAGCTAGGTGGTGCAGTCACTAGAGCTTTGGCCTTGGAGTCAGGAGGACCTGAGTTCAAATCTGAACTCAGACACTTGACACTAACTAGCTGTGTGACCCTGGGCAAGTCACTTAACCCCATTGCCTCACCAAAAAAAAAAAAACTTCCTTTGTAATATAGAGAAGAAGAATGAATTTTTATATTGAAGATAGAGAGGGCAGGTTGTAATCCTCTTTGCCAGAAATATGCCTTTATGTAAGACTTGCCACTCTGGGTCAGATCTGTACAATGATCATCCTGTTCTGATAACATGGATGATTCTAGGATGTCATCCTCAGAGATTAGGTATGGGCCCCAAATGTCTCAAGATAAGGCTACAAATGCAAATAATTTTAAAGCCCTACATAATTATGATTACTAATGACAATACAAATTATATACATATTTGGGGATAAAATGCTAGATAGATTTGAGGTTCAAGGAAACGGGTTCATACTCCACTTTTAATACTTGGCATCAATTAGGAAGATTGATCAGAGGATTTAAAATTTGAAGAGATCTTAGAGGTCACTGAGACCAACACTCTTCCTTTACAGATGAGGAAACTGAGTCCCAGAGAGGTGAAGTGAAATGTGTGACCAGGATTAAGTCACTTAAGTTCTCTGAGTCTCAAGTTTCCCCAGCTGCAAAATGGAGTTTAACAATCTCCACTTCACAGGGTTGTTGCAAGGCTCAAGTGAGACCATGGATATAAAGTTTAGCAAACCTTAAAATGCTGAATAAATACCAGTTATTATAATATAAATAAATTTAAACTACTTCTGAACTTGATTTTTTAACCCATACCACATCTTAGTTAATACTGTTATAAATATGTGTGTACTTGTCCTTAACACCTGTTTCAAGTTTCAAGAAGAAAAGCTTGAAAGGAGGGGCATCTAGTTTAGTACTATGGGATTTGCCACACAGAGTGTATGTTCCCTTTTTCACTCTCTTCATTTGTTTTATGGACTTTGATCCTGTCCCTTCTCAATCATAATCCTTCCAGAGTGAAGAAGTATCATCTTTTCTCTGTCTTGTTTTAACCCTGTCCTTTTAACCTTGTCCTAAGGCAAGAGACGTGATGGAAAGTAGGCACAATGAGGTTGTGAACTGATCCAACTCTTGTGGAAATCAATTTGAAAGTATGTGATAAAAGTCACATTCACATTCTTTGACCTATACAGGGCAGAGAGGTCAATGAAAGAAATGTCACATAAGCTGAAATATTCAGAACAGCACAGTTTTTTGGGTTACAAAACAAACAAAACCTGGAAAAACACAAACCCATCAAATTGGGACCTGTTGATTGGGAAAATGATTGAACAAAGTGTGGTATGTGAATCAGTACCAATCCCCAGGTCTAGGCTTGTGGCTTGATTCTCCCAATGCCTGGTCTTGATCAACCCCAGTAAGAACCCTATAAAAAACCACCAGACTTTGTTTTGGTTCCCCTTTCCACTGGGTTTCAGTGGAATTGACCTGTTTCCACCCTTCCTGAATGCCTTTCTTTATCGTACAGCCACTTGATAAAAATGTCTTGCTTTACTTCTTCGATATTGTTCCTTGCTCTGTGTCTCCTACTACCCCACTTTGGATCCCGAACCTTACTAAACCTCTATTAACATAGTCATTATTCATTTTCCAAAGACAAAGATCTCAGTTTGATAAAAAGGGAAAGACATATCTTTGAACGTCCTCACAAGCAGTTGTAGGACCAGTGCTCAAGGCATCACAAATTATGATCCCTCTTCAAAATCTCCTTCTTTTACAAAACCCTTTAATTTTTACACTGCTAAGAAAGTCTCTCACCAAGGCTGAAGGGAAATAGTCACAAAGAACAGGTAGTATAAAAATAAAAACATTCATATTCTTTTCGTACAAACAAACAAACAAACAAAAAAAAGAAACCAAATGTTTTTTCATGGGGGCACACATAGGTAGCTAGCTGGCACAGTGGATAGAATGCCAGGCCTGGAGTCAGGAAGACCTCAGTTCAAATTCAGCCTCAAATACTTACCTGGGCAAGTAACTTAACCTCTGTTTGCCTTAGTTTCTTCATCTGTAAGATGGGAATAATAACAGCATCTACTTAACAGGATTATTGTGAAGATCAAATGAGGTAATCGTAAAGTACTTAGCACAGTGACTGGCACATAGTAGGTGCTATATAAATGCTAGCTATTGTTGTCATTGTCCTCCTCCTTTTCAGTATTATTAGTTTCAAACCTCTGAGATTACAGTGGAGTGAAAGGCTACAAGATATTTAGTTCATTAACACTCCCTCCCCCAAGTCCCAAATGGCAATGGACATACCAAAAAGAAGCAACACTACCAGAAACACTTAAAAGGAATATTTTTGGGAAGAACAGAAAGAAAATGAACAAAAGTAGAGCTGTGACAAAATGAAGAATACAGGCATGAATTAGTAGTGGCATAAGAAAGTCGGGTAATTTTTGAGGGAAGTCATTCCTCCCTGGCTTTTGAAAACTAGGTGAGTCCCTCTCCCAGCAAAGTAAAAGTACTTGGTATTAAAATAATTCAATTATTTTTGAGATTACTGGGTTCTCTTTTTAGGGACACTAAAAAAGCAAACTCATTCCTGTTTTCCTGACAATCAGGAAGACCACTTCTGGGTGTCTTTAGTCCTAAATCTGAGGTTTCCCCCCTTTCAGAGATGATTACTCTGACTTCATTCAATATTCAATTCAGGGCTGTAGCTGTCCACTTGTTTCCAAATTTGATTTCCACTAGTATCACAGAGTTGGGAGCTCAGAGGTCATTTAGTCCAACCCCTCTCATTCATTGGATGAGGAAACTGAGGCCCAGAGAGGTTTAGTGACTTGCCCAAGAGTGCACAGGTCTTGACTGACAGAGAAGAAATTCAAAGCCATGTCCTCTGTAGATGCATTATTTTACCCAATGGGTCACATTGCTTCCTCTAACTAAATCATTATTTCAGGCTGGGTCAGGCACTGGCTGCATGTCTAAGTGCATGATTACCGACAACAAACTTACCCTTATGTTTTCTGGAAGTGGTTTAATTGGAATTTAACCTGTGCATTTTTACACTCAGTCTTTCACAAATGTGTTAATATGTCAGCCAGAGTATCGAGTAACCCAACTAACCTGCAAAACAAACTTCTTCTGTTACACTGTAACCTGAAGGTATGTTACTTATTACCCCTATTAATAATGTCCCTAGTGGGCAACCTCTCAAACCCTCAACTCCCTTTCTGCCCCCACTGCAAGCCTAATACAAAATACCCAGATTCTATTGGTTTGTAACATTCCCTCCAGGCCCATTGCCCCAACCTGTGCTCACACACAGAGTTGTGTTGCCACATCTGCGGGTAGTTTGTCAGGATGCATCTCCAGTGTGCTTCTCATAAACAATAAGCCAGTATGCTTAATTAGCTCTTAGCAAAGGCATTTACTCAAATGGCATTGCCAGAACAATAGTTACAAAGTATTTCATCCTCCAAAACCATAAATATACACATTTTGGGGAAGAGGAGTAAGAGAATGGACACAAACTTCAAAGGACAGCGGTGGTGAGAGACATGTGTAAGGGACATATTTGGCCAAGGGAATTTGTACCTCTGGAAATAAAAGGTTTTAGTGATCTTTTTCTCTCCAAAGATTCTTCACAAAATTCATTTTAAAAATGAAGTGTTGCTATTGGTTATGACTGTACTGATCCCCTGCCAAGCTGGTCTAGTTTGTCATAGGAAATGGTGTC